TCGCTCCGATAGTGCAAAGGCACGCTTCGGCATTCCACTCTGACAATAAAGTCTCTAGAGCCACAGTGCTCTGGCAATGGAGGACCGCGCTCTAACAGTATAAACAGTCGCTCCGGCATTCTGAATGTGCGCTCCGACAATGCAGGTCTGAGCCACAATGCTCTGGCATTATGAGAACGCGCTCTAGGAGCATGCTACTTAGGACCCGCGAATTGATTTGGTTTGTACAGGAAGGGCATTTCCGTTCAAAAACTAACTTTTTACCTTAGGGGGTTTTTACGCGGAAAGGTTGTTTTGGGGAAAAAAGTGAAAGAAAAGATTGGGGTGGGCTAAGTTGCATAGATAGTCAAATTTTAGGGTGTTTTTTGTAATTTTACCTATATGTACTTCACCTTATCCAATCGTCCCTTCTTAATGGAGGGTTAAGATTATCCCAATCACAATGTCTCGTCTCTACACTATTTTATTTTTAATTTTGATACCAAATTTTGTACGTTGAATCCTTTATTAAACTCACACTAGCGAGAAAATATAAAAACAATATTTCCAATAAAATAAAATGATCAAAATACCCCTGAAATTTTCAAGGGGTATTTTGGTCATTATATTTTATCAAAAAATTATTTTTAATATTTTTTACAGGTGCGCCCCAATGAGAAGATGGCACGTACCAAATTTCATATGTATACAATTTATAGAAAACAAAAATACTTTGAGATGTCATATCTAATATCAAACGGTGAATGACTCTCTTGATCAAAATTGGACGGCTGGATAGTAGGGGAAGCATAGATCTTCTATGCTATAAGAGAAGTATAGAAACCTTTCCCTAAATTTCTTGGTGAATAACTTAGTTATTTCAGATTTTTTATTTCCAGAATTATTCGCCCTATTATTAACCCTTTTCAAATATTAAGTATGGATTCGAAGCCAAGACCTTATCATCACAGACAATCTTCAAATAACAAGATTTTAATTTTAAATTATGTTTCAGTTAACATATCTATCTATGCATATTCTTTTATGAGTAATGATCCTATGAGACCCTCCCACATCCATGTGTGTATAACCCCAAAGGATCACCATTAAATTTGGCATAAATCTCTTGAAAAGTTATCACATGGGTGTGGAACTTGACTTTTTTAGAGATCTGTGCCAAAATTAACAATGATCCTTTGGGGTCCTACACACATGGATGAGGGAGGGTCTCATAGGATCATTACTTTTCTTTTATTTATTTTAATTATTCTAATAATTAAAAGAACTGAGGTCTTCCCTTTACATTGTCCAAAAATAAAATTTAAAAAAATAAAAAAAATAAAAAATAAAAAAAATAAAAAAATAAAAACTCTGTCGACTTCCCTAGATGACCTAACATTTTCACGTTAAATTGGAAAAAAAAAGACTTGATCAGTTGAGAAGTTACATCACTTTCATTGTCAAGTTGAATGTTCAAGACTTACAAAATGCAGACTTTTATTTGTAAAAAAGAAAGAAAAAATGCAGATTCATTGGACCCTTCATGGTTACTTCGCTTTCGTACTTTATTACTGCATTATATGATGACCATGAAGCAAGATAATATGTGCACTCTTACTTCTTCAGTTAAAACCCAGACACATGTATTTTAAGGGCTCTATGGATTTTACATTTCGACGTAACGTCCACAACCTAGAAACCACTTTAAAATAAGAAAGAAACGTTGCAACCTTAAAATGTAAAACTAAAGATGCACCTCCCAACAAAGTTTACATTGTATTCCCAACAAAATAAAAAAAAATTATATAAATTTATATAAATTTACATAGTATTCCCAAAAAGATACGTTATTCAAGTTGATATTAGTTTTAACCT